CACGACCTTCTACCTGCAGGTGCGCGGGCCGGGGGAGCTGGAGGGGAGCTGGGGGGGGGAGTGCAGCTGTGGGGGGAGCTGGGGGAGCTGGACGGTGCCGCCGCTGGGGTGTGCGGCTGGCGGCTGGCGGCGGCGTCCAGTTCGGACCGGTCTTTCCCAGTCATTGTATGTCGTTATATGGCGCAGACCTGGGTTCATGTAGCTAAAGGGCTCTCATGTGCTTAAGACTGCCGGCGCGAAGAAAGGCTCGTTGAAGGCCACCTTTCCTTGCATATAAGCCCCAGCCGGCTGCGCCCCGGGGCCACCCGAGGACTCGCCTGTGGGTCGCCAGAACACGTCCTCGGACTCAGTGTGCCAACCTTCGGACGAGCTCTGACGTTTAGCGCTCTGCGGGACTTTGCAACGCATCATTTCGGTTCTTACTTGAATTTGTACGTGCTTGGCTTTACTCCATTGGTTTTGGGTTTCTTCTCGCTGGCTATGGCGGCGGGGACACAGCTGCTCGCTCCGCCCTTCTTCTTCAGGCCCGCGTGTGCCTGCGTTCTGGCCGCCCCGCCGGGGGCCGCGGAGTCGCGGGGGGTCGCCCCCTGCGCGGGAGCCCTAGGGACGCCGCCGTCACTGCAGGGCGGGTCCCAGCGCTGGAGTCTGGGACTCTTACTCACTTTCTTTCTCTGCTCCTCCGTCCTCACGTCAAGGGCTGGCTTCTGAGAACTCGGCCTGCGGGCCCGAGGCGCACGGAGGCCTTTGGCTGTGTCAAACGCGTAATAGGACGGTCGGGCTTCTTCTGGGTGCAGCTCCTTCCTCCGGGAAGCGCCGGGAGCGCCCGGCTTGCAAGCCCCCTCCTGGGGAGGCCTGGCCGCAGCACTGGCCACCAGCTTGCTTCTGCCGGGGCTTTTCAGAGCCCCCGTGGACATGCCGGGGACGGTGGGAGGCTTGGCTTTGGCGCCCTTCCCCTTCTCACCTTGGACGGTCTGCATCTGCAGCCACTCGAGCTGGACCAGCCTGTCGATGTACCTGGCGAGTGGCCCTACAGCGCCGCAGCGAGCTGCGGGCCTGGGCTCGGTGCCGGGTGGCACGGCCAGGTCGCGGAGGTCCCAGGAGCTGAACGGGGCGGGCAGGAAGTCTGCATACTGGTAGGTGGGTTGCGCGCCGCCCCGGGCTTCAGCTTCGGCGTCTGGCTCCAGGCCCGGGTCCGCAGCGTGGATCTCCTCCGCGCGCAGGTGCAGCTCCGGGGGCGCGCACACCGACGGCAGCAGGGGCACCCGCTCGGAGTCGGATAGGTCGCTGGCACTGTCCTCATCCTCGCCCACACCCTCCTTCAGGATTTTCACGCACTGCAGGTCCAGAAACAGCTCCTTCCCCGAGGCGCCCCGCCCCTGGGGGCCCGGTGGGCTCCTTTTGGGTTTTCCTTCTGCGGACCTGCTGTCCTGGAGTCCGTCCGCGGGAGGCTGGGAGGACCCGAGGGACACTTGGGATTGACTCTGCCTCTTTCCTGAAGGGTTTTTTGAACGTTGTACTTTATTCCAAGACGGGCCAGCATTCATATTGCTGTGAGAAAGAAAACTGTAATTCTTAGTTCATAGGACACAAAGCGGTCTGGCTGTGATTAAACAAGCGGGCTCCCCTGGCTGTGGCCGGCGCGGTCCCTGGGAGGGGCAGTGGGGCACGCTGGGCTCTAGTCAAGAGACACTGCAGGGCACACGGGCCAAAAGAAGTTGCACGGATTCGGTCTCATATCAAATAGTATCACTTAGGAAAAACACTGACATTTCTTAAAGTGCTTATAATTTTAGACCCGTCAGGTATACTTTAAAAAAAACACCACCACCACCACCAGTTTGGAGAAAATCTGTCCTAAACTCTCCCATCTGTTCTGCTGTTGGTGAACAGTGTTTAATGACCCTAGTGAGTAAAAGCCATGGTTTTCTTTCTCAAGGCTACTTTCCATGAAAAGTAAACAAGGCGAAAATGCAAATTTTCTACAACTTAATCACCGATCAGTGGTGATTCTGAGCCCTTGAATCTAATCTAATCTAATCTTAATATGAGAGAGTATAGCACAGACAACCTGTACCTTTAATCAAAAGCTTAGTAAAGTATTCTCAAATAGGAAACACATTCAGGAAAACTTTAAAAGGAGAGAGGGAAAAAAAATATCACAGGGTGCGGTAAAGCGGAGCATGAATGAAAACAGGATTACCGCTGTCTTGTGAATTGTGCAGAAAAGGGAATGATGACTACCAGAGCAACTGCCCCCCACCCCCGCGATTTACTCTGAGGGAAGATCTCCTATCAGAGTTGAAAATACTTTCTTTTCTGTGTATTTACCTAAAACACGGCATCTCACTAGGATTCACAATACCTCTCAGGAACCCAAGTCAGGTAGGGTAAAAGCAAATGAGTGTTAATATGCTTTCTGGAAACCTCAGAGGTCCACTGGTCCTATAGTTTCTACCACAGTAAGCAATCATTTGAAAATACGTGATTTCTTAATAAATATGAAAGGTGTTGAATCATGGCCAATAAACTAACATGTGCTCAATATATGTTGAAGAAATGGAACTCATTTGGAACTCAGATGGAACTCATTTGGAACTCATAACCAATCCTGTTATAACTCTTGTTGACTCTGTCAGTGTACATCAATAAAAGCGATTATCAGGATCCTTTTTATAAAAAAGGAAACAGTCCTAGAAGGGTAATTAAGGGGCTTACTCAAAATGATAGGTTCTGCTAATGGTGGCAGAATTATGACTTCTGGAATTCTTACTAACTCGTAATGTTTAAAACCACTTTGCCAACTCATTTCTGTTGGATAAAAAATGTAAATACAGATTTCTTCCCCACAGACATTATTTTTTTTTTCCAGCCACACATATTCGGCCTGGAGAACTGGTATCATGTGCCTTTTGCAAGATAAAGCAATTAAAATCATTTACCTGCTTTTCTGATGAGACTTCGTCACCCTATTCCCTTTCTTGAAAAAATCAGATGGCTGATCATCTTCTAGGGTTTGATGGACTGTCTAAAAAACAAACATGCTTTTTAAAATAATAATTTAGGTAAGATAATAAATTTAATAATTTAGATAACAAATACCTTGACAACACATACACAACAGCAGAACAAATCTAATAAGGTTTTCCCTCAAAATTTACATCACCTTTTCTGTAGTGCTTGAAATATTCTTGCTCAATGTGTTGGCAGATGATGACAGCTGGGGAAGTGACTTCTTTATTCCTCTTATATTTGGAAAGGACGACTCACCACCGGAACTGGAAGCAACAGAACCCTGTCGGTAAGTATGGATTGCAAAGGGTCCCGCCCCCAGTACTGGGCTGGCTTGCACTGGTTTGTTTTGAAATATTTGCGTAATATTGAAATGGGGGGGCGGGTACTGCCTTCTGTGTACAGCTTCATCTTTTTTGCTTGTTTGTTTTTCACAGTGGATATTAGATACAAAATCACACAGCTATAAATGTGGCCTATGGGATCCTTCCCTCTCTTCTTACACACACACACACACACACACACACACACACACACACACGAGTCTCCTCAGAAATGTGTGGGGCTAATTAATGATTAAGATTTGGTATTACTCCAATCTCCCATGTCCATTCATTCATTCATTCATTCGACAAGTAATTACAGGAGAGCCTTGAAAACGGTCAGGATTAGGCACACATCCCAGCTGTCATGGAAGGACCACTCTATTGGGGAAGCTCCCCTTTAATTCTCCCGCCTTCAGGATCACATCAGTCCATTAAAAGATCGTCAGTATAGTAATACAGATCATATAATGTTATCTCTGTGAAATTCCATTGACTCCTATCAAGAATGCTGCTTTCCCTGATCTTGAGTGGGTGGCCTACTAAAAGGGCCCTGATTTGAAAGTGAGTACTTTCTTCCACAACACCCGGCACCTCTGTAAAATAGACAAGAGGTAGAAGACTTTTTTCTTCCTGAAACTCTGCTGTATTACTTCTCATCAGCGCCTGTGCCTTTCAGCCAGGGCACACAGGCTCTCACAATTAGTGACTTACACCATCAGCAGGCTTGATTTATGTTAGATGTAGAGAATGTTCTTTACTGGGCCAGCCCTCCTTCAGTCGTTTGGTTTTCCTTCTGCTTTGTCCCCCAGGACGGTAAAAAGGAACCCTCTACGATGCCTGCCCCGCACTGCTGTCTGGAGGGCGCGTTTGCACCTTCCCCAGTGCATTTCACCTGGCACGCTCTACAGGTAAGCGGCGGCGTTTTCGGGCCCTTACAGAGTGAAACAGGAGAAAATTCTTGGAGGGGGCCTGCATCCTAAGATGCGGAAAGCAAGCTCGCGATTTCCCTGGTGGCTCGCGCCCGCTGCGGAACAAAGCTAAAGGTCTGAGACTCTGGCTACAGAAAGGCTTCCCCAGCGCCAGCCGCCGATTAAGGGCAGCGGCGTAATTCATCACAGGGCATTAACTCCGGTTCCCAGGTCTTCGGGCCCAGCGCCAGGAGACGGACAGGGCAGCACCGCCCCCTCCCCACCCTCGGGGGAACTGGCTGGCGGTCCGGGCTGCAAAGCATTGTGGGTGATGTGTGGTGGGACGCCAGCCCCTTGCGCAGCGAGGCTCCCTCGGTCTGGCCGGGGCTCCAGGGTGCAGGGCAGACTTCCAAGGAGCTGGCTAGCCTACAGGCTTCCAATTAGCCGGGGGCCTGCTTCTGGAAAGGCCGATTTATGCGCACCCCCCAACCCGGTAACCCAGAAGTCCAAGGGCCCGCAGCATGCATTTTTCTCGTCCTCGCTGGTGCGGACACAGGTCTGCGATCGATAGGCGCAGGGACCCGGCAGATGCAGACAGAAATTGATCAGACCTGTTTGGCGATCGCCGAGGACACGTGACGAGGCCGCCAGGCAGCCTTCCCGGCGCCGGGCGGGGAGGCCGGACTGCGGCGCGCTGCGGCAGATCAGGGGAGGCGGCGGCGCGCAGGGCTCCCAGGCTGCGCGGGGCCGGGAGGGCCGGCGCGCGGCGGCGTCACGAGGGGCGGGGCGCAGGCTCGCCGGGAAGTTGCGCCCCGACAAGTTGCAGCCATGTAAGTAACGCAGCGGCCGGGAAGGTGGGAGGGGCGGCGCCGCCCGCGTCCCCCTCAAGAACCTCGGAGGAAGCCGAAGGAAGGCGCTACCCTGCGCTCCCGGGGGGGGGGGCACGGAAAAGCCTCCCCCCGGAGAAAGCATTCATCTCTCGGCTGAAGATCTCCTTTCTCGCTGCAAGAAGCGGAAGACCTGCGCCAAGACTCGGGGGGGCGCGGCGGCGGACGGGGGGAGCGCACAGCCGGCCCCAGAGGCTCCCTGCGGGCGGCGGTTTTCGGCGGACACCAAGGAATTCTGAGCCCGACAGGGACCCCGAGGTAGCGAGCTCCGGGTCCAGAGGCTGCCCCTCGGTTCCGGCTTCCTGTCGCCCGACGGCTGGCCGGGCCATGTCCGGAGGCTGGGGCTCGGCGGCCCTGCCCCCCGCTCCGGGGTCCCGGAAGCCCGCCCCGCGGAGCCTCAGCTGCCTCTCAGACCTGGACGGCGGCGCCGCCCGGGAGCCGCGGCCCTGCAGGCCCCCCGGGAGCCCGGGCCGCGCGCCGCCTCCACCGCCGGAGCCGTCCGGCTGCGACCCTCGCCTCCGGCCCATCATCCTGCGGCGGGCGCGCTCGCTGCCCAGCTCCCCCGAGCGCCGCCAGAAGGCGGGGGGCGCGCCGGGAGCCGCGTGCCGGCCGGGCTGCAGCCGGCAGCTCCGCGTGCGCTTCGCCGACGCGCTGGGCCTGGAGCTGGCCCAGGTCAAGGTGTTCAACGCGGGCGACGACCCGTCGGTGCCGCTGCATGTGCTGTCGCGCCTCGCCGTCAACTCGGACCTGTGCTGCAGCAGCCAGGACCTGGAGTTCACCCTGCAGTGCCTGGTGCCCGACTTCCTGCCGCCCATCGAGGCCGCCGGCTTCAGCGAGCGCCTGGGGCGGCAGCTCGTCTGTTTGGAGCGCGTCACCTGCTCCGACCTGGGCATCAGCGGCACGGTGCGTGTGCGCAACGTGGCCTTTGAGAAGCAGGTGGCGGTGCGCTACACCTTCTCAGACTGGAAGAGCGCGCATGAGGCGGTGGCCCGGTGGCGCGGGCCCGCGGGCGCCGAGGGCACGGAGGATGTGTTCGCCTTCGGCTTCCCGGTGCCGCCCTTCCTGCTGGCGCTGGGCTCGCGCGTGCACTTCGCGCTGCGTTACCGAGTGGCCGGGGCCGAGTACTGGGACAACAACCATGGCCGCGACTACAGCCTCACGTGCCGCAACCACGCGCTGCACATGCCTCGCGGGGAGTGCGAGGAGAGCTGGATCCACTTCATCTGAGGGTGGCCCGGCCCGGCCTGGCGCGGCCCAGCGGCAGCGGTTCCCTAGCCAGGCTCTCCCGTCCCTGCGGTTACTCTTCCTCACACCCCACTGCCAGCCTGAGTCTTCTCACTTCACTTCCCGAGGCAAGGTCCTTGGGCGGTGGCCCTTCCCATCTTCTACTTGAAACATCTGTGTCCCCAGGTCTAAAAAGTAGCCTCAAGTGGCCGGAAGGCTGAGTCGTGTAACGCGCTGGGGGAGGGTGCTGGGTGGGCAGATGCATGGCTGGGTCGGCCCTTCTGGAGAAAGCCCAGGCGGGGTGGGTGGGGTGGGTTGGTTGGTGGGTTTTTTGGAAAGGCCTGCATCCTCCTGCTAGGAAAGCCTGTGGCTTTTGCATGTATTCTGACTGGGTCTCTGTAAACGTAGCTGTTATTTATTATCATTGTGATGTTGGAACATTTTACCCTTATTGGATGCCTTCTCAGGAACATTCTGGATTTAACAAGCTAAAAAAATAAGTCCTGTGTGTCTGTGCCCATTGCAAACAGAATGTACAGTGTGACTCCCATCATGGTCCCTTGAGGCGTTTCTGCCTGGGACAAGGAAAACCTGAGACTAGGTTGCTTGCCAATGTCTGTAGACTTCTAACAGTGGGAAACTATTAATAGGCAAGAAATTTATGCCTCATCAGTCATCATACAGCCATTCCTGGGAGTTCAGGCTGCCCTGGTTAGGCCATGTGTCTTCTACATCAACAGCCAAGGAAGGGGGAAAAGCCTGACTTTCAAAACTAGCAAAACAGTCCCTTCTCTTGCAGTCTCTCCTCCCACTTCCTCTGTTCCCCCCTCTTCGTCTTTGATAATTATATCTGCATGTTATCAGGCCATTGTTTAGGTTTGAGACGACCTAAACATTTTAAGAAATTCTGCCTTAAGTTATTTCAATTTTCAGGCAATTCTATAGAAAAATTTCAGGCAACAATGCCCTCTGCAATTACCTTTTTGATGACTAAGGTGACTCCTTTAATGTCTGCTTAAGTGTCAGAAAATTTCAGCAGTCATCCTTCAGAAATCAGGTTATCAAGTGGAACTGACAGGTGTTTTCATCAGTAGCTGGAGCCCTGCAGGAAAAATCATCAGTATTTATACTTTTTAATCATTTTAAATTGTATTTATATTTTCCCAGTTTTATCAGCTACCTGCCAACTTTATTCTTTGTGCCTTCAGACAGGAGAGTTTCTAACATTGTCTGGACTTTCCCCACCTCCCCATTTTTAAAATGTTAAATGCTTTTCCTTCTTTGTTGTTTATCTCCAACCAAGAAGTCAAAGCCTTCATGCCCTGCTGAATGCCAGGATGACTTAAAACTCCCAGCGAGCTGCTGATGATTTCTTTTGGTGCCGAGCGGTGGTCTCTCTGACAGCAGGTGCTAACACTGAGGTGTGGAAACCCAGCCAAGATGAAGAAGGCCTCCAACTTGTGAAGTTTGCTTCTAATACAGTTGAAACCAGTGTCATTAATTTGTGATAGCTATCATCAATGAATTGACTCTAAATTTTTGAATACTTATTGACATTTGTCAAATCGCTATGTAAACGATGTGTTTTGCCTTTTAACCAATTTGTTTTTATAATTGCAACTTAAGTTTTTCTAAAATTCAAAGAAGAGGGATCGCTTTCTTTGGTACCTTTTGATAATAAGAACACTGAATTTTGATTTAAAGTGTTGTAATTCAATTGAACAACCGTTGGCTACTAGCACTGTGCACTACATTAACATGCAAGAGGGACGGAAGCCTATTTCCATTTCCTGCTGTTTAATTAACTGTCCAGTTAGGTCAGCAAGCCTCTGAGAGCCTTGGCTGTTGTGTCCTTGGCCCCAGCCCAGAGTGCAAGACAACTGTCCAGAGCATTCAGGTATAAGAGTTAGAGCTACCAAATGTATTGTTGTATAAAGGCATGTAAAGAATCTTATCCATGTGAAAGTCACTTGTCAAAAAGGTTCTGCTCATGGAATATACAGTAAATGTTTTATCTTCGATAGTAAGAGAGCCTTCACGTGCCTTTAAAAAAAAAATCAACATTTAAAAATGTAAAAATTTAAATATACCTTCCTATATGATAAAGAAGTTGATAAAGTTTAGCTTAAGGAGAACTTTCAGATCCTAAAATAGTTATATTGCTTAAATTTTAAAATTTTGCGGTGGATTGTGCAATTGTGGGGCTGTCTCCCCAAACATATTTGAAGGTCATTTAAGATTATTTCACTCAAGCCTCAATATTAAAGTATGTGCATAAATTGTTATCTGAGGTGTGTTTTTCTAATTATAGAAACAAGACTTTAGAAACTTCTTGTTTAAGTCATTTCACACATAAGTCTTACTCTTCCTAAAACACTATCAGATTTAGTGCCTTGCCAAAAAAGGGAAAATTGTAGGACTGCCCCTCAGCCTCAGGAGCACAGTTGTGTATGTCCTTGAGAAACAAGTGCGGTCTTTTAGGTCGGGTCCGTGTTAACATCTAACGCAAGTTCTAAGGGAGTGTAGGGTGTGGGAAAACAATTCTTTCAATGCTGACTGAGTTCTGTGTGTGAAGTAATGAGTGTCTATCTGCCCCCATCCCCCCTTTGTGTCCCTCACCCAGCATAAAGCCTGGCACTTAGGGGAAAGAAACTAACATTTACTGTACACCCATTCTTATTGGCTTGCCCCCAGTGATAGGTACTGGATGCAGATGATTTCGTTGAACTCTGAAAATTACCTGATAGATAATGCCCCTGCTTTCTTAGCTGATGAGAATGAAGCTCAGAGGGGTTTCAGCCATTCTTCTGAAGACCCACAGCTGGTAAGCCTCACGGTCAGCCTTCAAACCTAGACCAAAATCCACCTGCTCTGCCCTGTAACAGGAGGTGCTTGTGAAATTTAATTGGAAATCCAATTATGATTGATTGATAAGGTTTTCCATCTAACACCATATTCTAAAACCCTACTTAAGAACAATTCAATTAAGATGATCGCTTTTATCTTCCATGTGGTAGTGTACTAAACCCCCATGCTTGCCCGATCCTTGAAACGACAAAAGCATTCTTATTTTTCTTCTCTACTAGAAAGTGGTAAGACCAGTGATCAGGACTTCAACTTCCGAAGTGCTTGTCTGCTGGGTCCGTTTCGGAATTGCTTCCTATTTTGCACAAGAAGCATCCATTGATCTTATCATTTAAACTGATAACTTAAGTGGAAATGCTCCCAAAAGCCTGGGGATACAACTGACGATTGTGCTCAGTACCACACCTTCAAGGCTTCAACCTAACGTCCCCCAAGGGTCTGGGGTTTGGCTAGTGAGGGCAGCAAACCCTGGCACCTCCTGCATCTAGGAAACCGGAGTGGGGCGTAGCCCCGGGGGGGGGGGTGGCCCCGGTGGGCGTGGCCCCGGTGGCACGTGGGCTCCCTCGGGGGAGTCGGGCCCTTGCCCGCTCGCAGGGTTCGCAGGTGTGTCCGGGTCCCCGCGACCCCGTCACGCCGTCGCCGTCCAGGGGGCTTGTGGGCAGCCTAGAGATCTCCCGGGGCCGCCCACGCCCTGCTGGCCGGCGTTCTGCACGGCGGCGACTGGGGGCACCCGGCGTCCGCACCGGGGTCGGGCAGTGCAGGCCCGGCAGGGCCGCGGACGCGTCCTCTGGGGCCCGGGCCGGAGCAGCGACCGCAGCTCGCAGTCCACTTACCCTGCCCCGCCCACCGCGGCGCCCCTGGCTCAGGCCTCCGCGACTCCTGCGTCACCGTCGGGTAATAGGGGCGGAGCCTGAACTGCGCGCTGCGCTGATTGGACGCGCTTCCGAACGCACGCGGCGCTGATTGGTCGGATGCTTCCCGCCCTCCGTCGGCCGCCTGAGGAGCGGAGGCTAGAGACGCGACGCGAGGCGGCGGCTGTGGCGGCGGCTCCGGGGGCCGGACGGGGGAGCTTCTTCCAGCCGCAGGTAAAGCCGGGCGCCGGGCCGGGCCTCCCTGACGGTGGGGCTGCGTGGCGGGGGACCGCGGCGCCGGGCCGGTCTCCGGCAGCGGCGGGTGGGCGAGCGGGGAGACGGCCGGCCTCCCGACGGTTGAGGCGGAGCCGTTGTGGAAACGGCCGGGGCGGCGCGGCGGCGCGGCTGAGAGGACGACTCCGGCCGGCCGGGCAGGCGGGCCTCGCGCCGATCGCGGGGCAGGCAGGGGCCGTTTCCACACTGCGCGCCGGGCGGCGGGCGCGAGCGGCGGGCGGCGGGCGGTGGGTTGTAGGCCCCTGCCTGCCCCGCGATCGGCGCGAGGCCCGCCTGCCCGGCCG